GTTCATTTCAATAGGAGAAATGACAAAGAGTGTGTAATAATTAGCAAAAGAAATCTAAGCAATAAGTAGCCACAAAAGCACTACAAGGGACTGAGGAATAAATGACTAGGGTGATTAGGAAAGGTTTTGAAAGTTGGGATTGCAGCCAAACTCCAACAGCATTTGAAAAGGTGGATCAGAGGAGGGCAATTTGGCCTAAGGAACTGTTGTGAACAAAAGCAATGGGGCACATCTGATGTAGATGGTGTGTAAACCAGTTTGGGCGGGAGTAGACTGAATAGGAAAGTGGTAGGTAACTGCTAAAAAATTTTCTACAAGGCCTCCTCCTCTTTAAAACAGTGGCCAAATTCCACAGTGTTTAACATCTAACACCCTTTGGTTCCAACCATTCTATATTCTGCCTTCCCTCATAACACCTACACTGCTGTCAAAACAGAAAACTATAACCTGAACATACTGGCTTTGCTCATTAAGAAGGGTGCTCCTGTCCAAGGCCAGCAGTGAAAATCCTACCCATCCTTCAAGACTCAGCTTAAATGCTACATCTTCCATAAAATCTACCCAAATATTATTTCTCTTTTCCTTGTAGCTCCCAAAGCATTTTGTTTCTATTTTCACTCAGACACTCAATTAAGATAGGTCTGGCCCTCTGTAAGATGTTAAACCTTACATATGCAATAAGGATGAATGTCTCAGACTCAGACAGTAAGGGAATAGAAGTCCAAAGCTGTCAGCTTTTTAAGGAATGATCATCAAGATAAATCTGACCTACAAATCCTAAATAGAAGACAAGGAAGTACCTTTGCTGAGCATTAGCAACTATGTACTAGTCATCAAAAGGCAGGTGAAGACATGTGTAGTATATTCAGTTTGTAGTCCTCCTGATTCATGTATCTAAACTGTTTTTAGTCTGTTAGCTGTGGCTGTTTATGAGGCAAACGCTTTCCAGATGGAAAACTTGACTGAGCAGAAAACAAGAGGTTGTGCCACATACCTAATGAGTAGGGGTTTCATTTTTAAAGGAATCCCTGCCTTTGAATTCCAGGATCTAGGACTAAAATACTGGTGTGTGAATAAAATTAGAATATTATCTGAGGTGTATCCTGAAACTTGGCTAATCCTCTTTCAGTATACGATTTGGATGAAGCTATAGATTTGGGTTGAGGCCACAGGGATCTGCAAATATTAGTAGGACACAATGATACCGAAGCAAATCTTTTAGTTTAAGATGAAATATAAATTATTAGAAAGCTAAACCAGAATTATGACTAAGTTGAATTAAAAACAGAGACCAAAGCATTCACAGTTAACAAAACCAAACCAGATTACTGGCACTTGCCTCTCAAATACTATAGTTCTATTAGGCCCTCAATGTGTTAGCTACTATTAAAAAGAAAAGCACAATTTCACAGACAAATTAGGTTGCCCCGTTTTGGTCAGCAAATCATAAAAACTAAAGGCAGGAATGATTTTTTTAATTTTTTTTTTATTGTTAGTTTCAGGTGTACAGAACAATGCAATAGTTACCCTTTTCACCCTCACAAAGTAACAACCCCCCTCCCCCCATCTATTGCCCTCCCACCCCCGATATCATGCTTATCTATTACAATTCCATTGAATCCGTTCCCACACTCTACTCCATGTCCCGAGGTTATATGTATATATAATTATAGTTGACATACAGTATTATTCAACATCAGTTTCAGAAATACAATGCGGTGGTCAGGCCTCTACATCAACTATGAAGTGGACTCCCCAAAAGGACATGGGTCCATCTGGCCCCCTAAGAAATACTTACAACATTATTGATTGTATTCCTCGGACTGTCTTTTTCTATCCCTGCGGCCATATTACAATTACCCATTTGTATTGTCTCATCCCTTCCCCTTCTCCTTCATCCCCACCCCCTCCCGACTAGCAACCCTCAGTTCTTCCTCTGTGTCTCTGAGACTATCTCCATCCACTTCTCCCATCCATTCAGTTCCTTAGAATCCACGTATAAGTGAGATCATATGATATTTGTCTTTCTCTGACTGACTTATTTCACTTAGCATAATGTTCTCTAGTTCCATCCATATTGTTGCAAAGGGTACTATTTCCTTCTTCTTTATAGCTGAATAATACTCCATTGTGTAAATATACCAAAGTTTCTTAATCCAGTCATCTACCGATGGGCATTTTGGGTGTTTCCAAGTCTTAGCTATTGTGAATAACGAAGGCAGGAATGATTTAATACAAGTTCTTTAATTCAATTACTGACAGGATCTGAATTTTGTCCCTATTTGAATAACTTCTCCAATTAACCCTGGAAAAGCTAATCATTTTTCAATAGACACTGCTATTGGGAAATATATAACTGTACACGAAACACATAAAAAGATTTTTCAAGATACTTTTAAAACAGAAAATATTCTAACTATATGGATTGCTGTGGAAACCCAGAACCTGGGCCTCTCCTAGTCCTTGCCTAAGGTACTTATTGTAAAATTGTCACTTGCACAATCTGCATAATTCTTCTGTATTTAATACCCGGGTGAGTATATGAACAAAACTGAGACTAAGACAGGCAACAGTTTTTCTCTGTCAAAGGTCATAGATCGAAGACAGACAAACTAATTACATAACTGCACATTAATTCATTCTGCTAACACATGGAATTCTCAGAAAGGATCATAAGGCCCTGGCCGTTCATTCAACAATCTGAACCACCTACATGCCAGAGATTTGAATGAACAGGTATGGCTCCATCTTATGTGTGCCCCAAAACTATCCATTAGCATTTATTCCAAAAATTCTTTAAAGAAATAACCTATGGAGTGAAAATCTATCAAGTCTAATGCAAACTCTACTATACCACAGGAGATAATACATGAAAAAGGGTGATTTTAATGGATAAACTATTAGAAAAGGACAAAAGTGCATCAATTCTCTTTTTAAATGGTGTGAACCTAAAAAAGAAACATTTTCCAAGTCACTAAAATGGGTCTGAAGATACGACGGTTGCTTCTTTTCTTTAGAAGTATGGTTAGAATGTTACTAGTATCCTGTAATCAAAAATACAGAACGGTAGGGTATTTTTACTTGGTCTCCTTTAATCAAGAAGCTAGAAGCAGGCCGGCCTAGTGGCTCAGTTGGTTAAGAGCTCGCTCAAGAGTTTGAGCTCTGAGCAACAGCAGTTCGAGTCCAGCCCGAGCTGAGCAGCCGCTGAGCTGCCAA